CCTTTAATTACATGCCAACTGTCATTTACATAGCAAAATGACCTACTGATTAAGTTGCTTCTGATCTGATGGTTGCAGGAGTAATACTGTCAAGCTGCTTCACCTGTCTCTTCTATTTTCCTCGGATCCTACGTGTGAAACACTCACACGCTAAGTCATCGACTTAGTGAGGCAACAATAATAAGGCAATGTAATGTAATGAAAATGTCAGGATCATATGAGATGAGATGCAAACATGTAACTAATTAATGTAGTATACTTCATCAATATCCATACCTGTAAGCGGATGACTGTAACATTCATTATTCTGTATTAATAAGTTTATTGGCCCATGATAGCATATTGAGAACCTAAGGTATTTGAGTAATGTGAGGTTGTGCACTATGCTGTCACCACAGCTCGTATAAATGCACCGAAGTGCCCGTAGAATTGCACCGAAGTGCCCGTAGAATTGCACCGAAGTGCCCGTAGAATTATGTCCATAAGGACCACGTAGAATTCCTTAAGAATCATATACATATACTATGGATCAAGTATGTGTCTTTCAAGACTTCACACAGGTTCCAAAGGATATACATATGTCCTAAAGAACCGAGTATACCCTCTACCCTTGGCATGCCAACTATACCTATAGTTCTCATCTACCTAACATGGGCTTATACATTTCCCGTAGTTCATATCGCGTAGACATAGTATTTCCATACCTTTAACACATAGGCATATCATTTACATACCTTTATCACATAGTGCATATAACTTTTCTGCATAATCATGTCATGTAATACATACAATATGAATTCATGTCATGTAATACATTTAATACAAATTCATGTCATGTATCATAATATGGAATGTAAATCATATGTCAAAATATGGAATCTAGACTTATCACAAGTATAGAACTGAATATACTACTATATTCATGCTATGCATATGCACTCACCTATACTTCTTTGCCTTTTCCTCGATCGATCCTACTTGTAGATTGTTCCCGAACTCGAGTAGGCTCGATATCTACATAAACATAATTTTTAAGATGATCATCAGATGTCTATGTCTTGCAATTAAGCTTTAATAGCTTACTAATTTAAAGAATTTATAGCTTAGTCTTGCTTTCTTTTCTTTCTTCTTCTTTTTCTCATGGGGGAATCGGTTCCCCCCCTGGGGGTATCGATTCCCCTCAAGCAATCTGGAATTTCATATACGATGAGGGGGGTATCGGTTCCCCCCTGGGGGTATCGATTCCCCTCTTGCATTCTGGAAATTCATTTCGTTGAAGGGGTATCGGTTCCCCTTGAATGGGTACCGATTCCCCTAACCCAGAAATCCTATTTTGAGCCCGGAAATCATCTAATTTCAGCTCAAACATACTTATTTCAATCCCTTTAACACTCTTAGCTCTCATACACTTACTTAAACTAATTATTAACCATTCAATACCTCTAAAACTAAGAAAACTCCTCATCCATATAGAATTGAAGAATCTTACTCCAATTTCAACTTGTTCTAATTTCAATTCTATTACTTCATACTTCTTAATTAGCTTATTGACAAGTCAAAAATCTGATTCAAACATCAAAAACTCATTCCTATCAAGATTTCATCTAAAAACTCATTTTCCAAATCATTCTCTAAATCACTTATCTTGTTGTTTTAATGTCATATAAGGTTTCCTTTATCTTATATAACATACCAACTTTCATTTCCAATCTTAACAATCCAAGAAACTACCAAGTTCAATTTCTTACCTATAATTGCAAGCCCACGGTTGGAGGAGGAAGAGGAGGAAGAGGAGAAAGTAAGGAAGAATGAAGAAGAAATGGGAGGTTCTGGAACCTAAAATCACACGTGGGTATCATATATACCCCCATAACATTTTATTTTAATTAAATTTTCCTTACCAATGACCATTTGGTCCCTACCTTCATTTCATATTTACTAACCTTTATTTTTAAACTATATAATTATTCTACTTTAATCACCAAATGTTGAAACTTTGCAAATTAATCACTAACCCGACATGGAGGATGTTACAGGTAAAATAATCCGAACTGACCCTGAATGAAAAAATACTTTGAGAATTCATACTTAACTCGATTAATTATGGATTTAATTGTTCAGATTCTGTCTTTGTACAGAAAAATTTATGATATTTCGTTTGTAAAATCTGAGAAGACACTTGACTCGAAAATATCCGAGTTATGAATAAAAACCTGAAGAACAATTTATCGGAGGTGTTCTTTTGACAGAATTGTTCGAAATGACTGAAATAAATGATAAGTTTAAATTTAATAATAAGATCGGACGGAAAAAAATGATTGAAATACACTTGATCTGTAAAATGATAAGAATACCCCTATAATGGAAATGACCCAATAATATCACCAAGCTCAGGAATGATGAGATATCCTCGAGCTCTGTAATGATTGGAATAAAACTGAACACCAAAATTACCAAAATACTCTTATGGCCTATACAAAGTAAATGTCTTGGATTAATTAAACAATCCAAATAAGCATAGGTTTTGGACTACCGTTAAAAATTATGGAACACAACTTAAGTGAGTTGATCAATCTTAATGATATGTCAGTACCTGAACGACATAGATATTACTCGAATGCGTGTTCGTCTTCTCAATTATGACTTGATGATAATTTTAGAAGTACTTAGCTCAGCTCAACTCTAGATCACATTCGGTACTAAGAAATGGACATTCGTTAGACCACAAAGACCAAATTGAATTGAATGGAAATATAATATGTATCTGAAATTCAAAAACGTCTGAATTACACTGGAAAACCCTGAAGTAACAGAATAAACTTGACTGCTAAATGAGTAAAGTAACCTCAATAATTGAGGATTAAGTAAGTGATTTGGATAAGTCTGAAAACTCTGATGAGTTTATAAGATGTATTTTCCTTATGGGTCATGAACTACAAATCAAGCACGTCAGTATTTCATGATATCGTGGAAGCGTGAAAATGAAATAAACACCATTGGAAGATCTAGTCAACGATGATTTTGAAGATGATCTATGGACAATAATTTTTTGTATTAAAAAGTAAATATCCTGGAAAGACAATGAATTGTCCAGTCAACAAGCATTAGTTCTGGGAGTTATTCATCTAGAGTTGTTCGATAATCAAATCAATCGACAAAGATTGTAAAGGATTCTAAACACCCTTATGATTACGTTATGCTTCTGAAAAAATGTATGAATAAGATATAATCCTTATAAATCACATTCTGAATAACTGATGATTCTGTCAGTTAATGAACTCTTCCTATAATGATTCTAACTTATGACATTCTATCGGTAAATTGAAGATCCGTGTTTCTCTACCTGATAAGATTATCCAATATCTTTGAATAATATATGTTATTTGACATGAATATTTGACATGAATTCTGATCTTATATCTAACATGGATTCTAATCTGATACTTGACTTGGATTCTGATATGATACTTGACCTAGATTTTGATATGATACTTGACATGAATTATGTTTTGATTTTTTATATACCCGTTTACGGACGAAACATGTTTTATTGGGGGGGATTGTTGGAGGAAGAGTACCTGGAGGCTCCTCGACTTTGTGCTCAGTACCTTACTATACGTGACGGGGTTGTATGGTTCTGGGAAACCTACACATTTTGTATGTGATGGATGAAGATTATATATATATATGTTTTAAAAGATCTGTATCTTTTTACTGGTTTTACGAGAACACACTAGACAACCTATTCTAATCTTCTGAACTCAGTCACCCGAAATATTTCTCTGAACTGAAAGCTCATTTTTCGTTACCCCTGAAATATACGAAAGATCTCCGCTCAGCCTAAAAATCTGTAGATATCTGAACTAATAAGTAAATATATGTTTATCTGTATCTGCACGCTCTATAGCATCATCTGGTAGTTTTGTATTACTGAGCTTTCCGAAGCTCACTCTGCTACTCACCTTTTTAGGTTAAAAGAATTGTATCAGTGCATCTATCGACATCAATAAAGAAATTATTCCGGCATTGCTTGCAGAGTATGGTACATGTGATTAAGGAGCATATAATTGTATTTTGTTTTATATACGGGTCTGAAAATCTGTTTTATTTCTACATACTGTTAAATGATTTTATAAGTTTATATGTTTTTATAAAAAGTTTTAAATATTCCGCTATTTTTATAGTGGGTCGCTCCGGTGGCCCTAATGTGACACTCCAGATCGGATCGAGTTACCTGTATCGGTATGAGGGGTTAAAAAAAAGTAAAGAACAAAAAGCATCACGCACAATAATAGGCCATCCATGCAACAAGTTTACGATACCATGCGATGCCAAAAAGTCCATTAGTTTAAGTTCATGGTGTCATGTGGAAAGCTAACAATTCCCAAAGCAAGTCTATAAACACCTGCTTTTTTTATTATTATTCTTGAAATTGTAAAAGAAAATGTACAGTGAATAAGCAAGCCATGAGAAGATATCAACAAAAGAGAAGTGAGATTAATGCTTTTCTTTTGGACCCAAAAGAGGAATAAGATAATAGGTGTCTTAACCCACTCAACAATATGGTAAGTGTGTCAATGTCAAGTTTAATTCTAGTATTCTAACTAATGAGATCACTAAATCACATTAAGTTGTCAAATCATTAAAAGGTCAATGATAATTTTTTTTCTCTTTTTATACTATAGAAGTTTATTATCAGGTGATCTTTTTAATTTAATTTATTTTATTCATAACATTAAAAATTAAAAGAATTTAATACCTAATCCTGTTAAATCAACTTATTGTTGATATAATTCTTATTTTTGTATACATTTTAGGATAAACAAATCGACCTGGAATAAATTTTTACTGGATATTCAAGCATAAAAAAAGTCTTCCAAAATATTAAACAAATTTCATATATGGGATCTCGATTATTAATTAACGTGCACCAAATATAAAGCGTAGGACAGCAGTAATCAATAATCCTAGACAAAAATGAATGAAGTTAAAGAACGCACCTGGAGCAATGTATCCATAGGAGCCAGCCGACAATGAAAGACATGGACTCATCAGTCATCACTCTGGATCAACTTGGCAACTCTAAAATCTGTCACTCTGACCTCCATCTCTCTGTCAAATAAAATATTACTTGGCTTGAGTTCGTGGTGGACGATCACCAGATCACAGTCATGGTGAAGATAACAAATGCCTTGTGCAACGCCAAGGGTAATTTTGTACCTTGTCACCCAATCGGCCACCAAGTTCTCCCCTTTGTTCTTGGCATGCAATAATGGAGCAGAGCATCGTACACTCCCTGTTGCTGCAACAACCTAACAATCTAACTATGTTACGGTGCCTGACGTTCCCCAGCACGTCAACCTCTGCCACACACATTTCCGCGCTAGATGATCTCTTTATTCTTACCACACAACTTCACCGCTATGATTTCGCCGCGGGGCATCTCCGCTTTGCATATCGTTCTCGTGGATCTATCCCTATGATCTTGTCTGCCATCGAAAGACACTAGTAACATCATCAGCAATGAAAATGAAACGCTAGAAGGTGATCAATATACATGGTCTGATCTCACGATCGTCACTGAACCTGCAACTGTAATTCACATGGAAACATCGGGTACCAACTATGAGAACAAACAAACCAATCCCAAAAACGGCTGCCATAATCCAAATGATAACTCCAGTCATTTTCTTTGGCTGCTGCAGCTAGTTACGAACTTCCATGTCACCTATGGCAATCGCCTCAACTAGGCATAATCTCGCTAAAATTTTGCCGTAAAGGCTGTTGTTACCGCAAAACAATGAAGGGTGTAAGTTAGGAAATATCAGACCAGGCGATGGGATTGGGCCGGTTAGCAAGTTATAGAAAAAGTGCTACAGTTTTCGAAGTTTGAAGGGATAGTTCCGGTGGGCAAATTATGCGAAATATCAACAGTTATTGAAGGAAGCGTCAATATTTCCATGAAATTATTCCAGTAAAAAAATTTCTGCTTAAATTCGAAGACAAGCTTTTCACAATGATCAATGTACCAGGGGATGCTTCCGTTTAGAGAACTACCTTGGAGCTCGATTTTGTAGATGTTTTTACAACCGATGAAATTAGAGATTTCCCCAGTTAGCTTAGCCGAACTAGCTGAGAATATCTGCAAACTTGGTGCACCCCAAATGTTGCTCGACAACGCTGCATTGAAAGAGTTCTCGAAGGTGTTAAGAAACTGTAACATCGGTGCATAGCCAAAATCCTTCTAAATCTCGCTGGTAAAGTCGTTCTTACTCACCTCCACAAACGTGAGGTTTTTCAACAGTCCGAAACAGTAAGAAATGGTACAGTTGAGAAGATTGTTTTGGATTCGGAATCTTGAAAGTGAAGTGCAGTTTACAAAGCTTCCAGGTAGCTCATGCTTGAACATGTTGTTAAACAGTAAGAGTTTGAATAGCTTGTTCCCATAGCAAAGAATTGGCAGGATTGGACCCGTGAGAGAATTCGTCGAGACATCAAGTGATAGCAAGTTATTTGAACCCAATTTTTGTGGGAGAATGTCGCTAGGATTGTTGTTCCAGAGAAGTAAAGTGTTGAGATTGGGTAACTCACTGATTCCTTCCGAGACCGTACCAAAAAAGTTGAGCACGCTTTACCACGTTAGCTCTGTTAAAGAAGATATGCCTTCTAGAATGACACTACTGGGCTGGTTGTCGGATAAATCAAGAAACCTGAAAAGCTTTCAAGTTCGTGTAACTCACCCAGATTTCACCCGTGAAGCTGTTCTTGAAAAAGTACAGAGCTTCCAGCTTAGTTAAATTGCTGAGTTCTTTTGGGGGTTTTCTTTCGGGAGTGGACCTGAAAGAGTATAATTTGAAATGTCCAAGTACTTGAGATTCGATAACAATGCAAACTTTACTAGTATGGTGCCTGTAAAGCATTGCAGTCAATCTCTATCCGTTCAAGCTGAGTCAAGAATCCGAGTTGACACGGTAAAGTGCCTTTCAGTACATTTCCAGCCAGGTCAAGCAACATCAACCTGGTAAACCTTCCAGAAATAGCTGCTATTGCACCTTCAAAGTAACTTCCCCCAAGATTGAGCTGCTCCAAGAACCGTAACCATACGAACTCCCTCAAAATCGTTGCAATATCCATTGAAGATTCTCAAGAACCTGAGCTTGGAAGCCCCAAGCGGAACGTTGAATTGAAATAGTTATGGCTGATATCAAGAGTTCTAAATTGCGGGAGTTCAAAAATGGCTCATTGGAGAGGACAATCAAAGTAATTCCCACTCAAATTCAAGTTCACCAAAATCCTCAAATATCTGATTTTCGGTGGAATAAATGTGAGAGATCCAGAGACGTGACTTGAGCTGTTTTAGGATTGCCCTTGACACCAGACCATGAAAACCAAACAGGGTGTTCAAAACCAGGCTTGGAAAATGCTGGAGTAGGGTCCCAGTTTCTGAAACTGAAAACATGGTCTTTGAGGGAAGATTTCAACGACAAAAGAGAAATCAAAGGGAGAGGCAGTAAAGAAGCAGATAACACTAACAAAGATGATCCCCAGAAAAATATCATCAGAGAAAGAAGAAATGGAGGTTTCATCATGGTTATGTGAAAAAAACTGGCTGGTTTAGAGAAACTTTATCTAATCTTTCTCGAAAGGCTTTCTAAGTACGCATTTTCCTTAAAATTCTATGCTCTTTCTCCAGATACAACATCCTAAAATCATCAATCGATTCTGAATATCTGCAGAAATTCAAAAGTTAACATGGAAACCAACTGCAAACAGATATTTTCAAAGTGAAACATCAAAAATTAACCACCCCATACCGATTTCCCTCATGCATAAGTCTCTGATTCAGACTCTTCAATTTAATGTCTAGTTGCTCGGTTGTACTTCCATCCAAGTCCTCTAAGCGTCAATTTCACTCTCAGAACAAATGACAAAAAACCTTTCTATAGCTCCCCTGCAATGCTGCAAAATATAACATGGGCTACAATTGGTTAGTATATTTAGAAAGGCATAAATATCAACCATACAATTCTTTTTATTCTGCCTCTGCCTCGTTGATTTGAGGAAGAACCTTTTCTTTCTTAACATATTCGCAGTGAACCCTATTCTGAAACAGTTTCCACACAATAGTTGCAGACGTAAATGAATAAAATGTTAATGGAGCAGAAGGTAGACCGCTTCTGCATTATTTCTCTCTCTCTCTCTCTCTCAGTTCCTCCTATGCTTTCTGCAAAGCTTCAACCTCCTCCTTTGTTGATTCTATGATACACATAGGGAGTAAATTGAATCCAAGTAAAGCCACATGAAAATTTGAACTAAACATTAATTATAGTTTACTAAAATAATACCCCCAAAATCTTCAAATGATAAATCAAGAGTTTTGGTTTTTTCTTCTGCTGCATTAAACCTCTTTAAGCGTTTCTAGCAACGCCTCCTTCTTGATCAACATTTTAGCATCCTAAAGACAATTCAATGATGAAGATATCATTAAAAAAGGATTTTAACTTACTGGAATACAATTATAAAAGCAAGGTTTGTAAGCCAAGTCGGTCATGGAACAAACTAAAATTTCTTGAAGAAGTTCATTAGTAGTTGACTCAGGCAACACACTAGCATCAAGAGAATGTGACTTCTGCACATCCTCCAGTTTCATTCTCTTAACCATGAAATCACGCTCACATCCAATCGACTTTTCTGCATAACACAAGTGAAGCATTGATCATAGGGCATACTGCCATATATTAACCCAAAAAGAGATACAAACAACAAAGAGAATGATTAAAAAGATATGCTTAGGGAAGACGAATGGAATTCTTGCCTTCGGTAATTATCACACCCACGAGCCTACACAAGGAATTAAGGCACACAGAGTCGGTGACAACAGCACAATTTTACTTTTAAAGATAGGCATTATGTGCAAGGAAACACATTTTTTAGACTAGTATTAAGCTTGAAAAAAAATTTTAAACAGAAGGGAAAAATTACACATCTACCAAAACATTGAAAACAGTAGGATTATCATAATGTAAAAGAGATTGAGCAGCTGGGTGGTTCATCTGAGCCGGAAAGTAATTAAATCTTGCCTATGTATAACAATCAGAAAGTACAAAGGATCCCAAATTGGACCAATAGGAGGCATAGTAAATGCACGGTGATGCCTTTCAATTTCACGTCGAAGGCGCAGCACTCCATCCCCACCAAAAACTGTAACCTGTCCAAGAAAAGAAAATCAAGTTCAAAGGTGACCTTAAAATATTTTGGGGAATAAAAAAGCACATCATCCTCATTTCTTTCATGTAAAAACAAATAAATAAATAAATAAATAAAAAGAGTTGCCCAGACCCTGTTGGCTTGATGTAGACGAAGCTCACGAATTTGATGATCAATCTCATGCTGCTTTTTTTTTCATGGTACTTAATCTATAAAAGGGGAAATGGATCAGTGATGTGAAGATCTTCAAGAAGAAATTATTTCTATAAGCTAAGAGAAATAAATCCTGAAATTGCAAGAACTTACCCTGCAAAGAAAAACAGCAACAAAGTCAAATTACATATGTCAAAATTACTATCCATACAAATTGCACATGCAAAAAAAATTGCTTTTTTTTATTTAAAAAAACATGTCAATAATTTAACCTGAGAATGTCCCACATAATCTTGGAATGTTATAATGTTGTACCTTTTATTTCTATGATCACTTATCCTCTAAAACCTCTTAACATCTAAACTAACTCCTCTTCACACAAATTGAACACGTAAAAAAAGATTTAAAAGGAAAATTAACAGCAGTCATAAGTGCTCGAATATAAAGTTTGAACCAATTATTATCTTGAGAATGTTTGGTATATTTTGCATGCTATGATGATGTACCTTTCAATTTTCCATTATTACTTATCCCCGAAAACCTTTACCATCTAAACTAAACCCTCACCACAGAAAATGAACAAGTAAAAAAGATTTTTTTTAAAAAGGATCACTGCAGTCAAAACTCATAAGTAATCAGATATAAGAGTATTTTTGAAGTAATAATAACTTAATGATAAAGGAACCAGGCCTTTTCATTTTTCATGACCATTTATCTTCTAAATGTTTACCACCTAAAGACACCATAAAAGGTTATGTTTTGCATATACCTAGGGTTATATTATAAAAATCACAATTCAAAACCAAAGAGTCAAAATGGAAAAGCAAATTCATATAAATTTTAATAATCTCTAAACTTCCCCATACGTCTTCATTAATCTTCTTCATTGCATCCATTTCTTCTGAGAGATGTTCTGATGAAGTATTTTCCACATTCTTCAAACTGGAAAGAATATTTTGAGGGTTAAAGAGATCTAGAATAACTAAGTGATAACAGGGGCATAATGAGCAAGGAAATGAAAAAGTGAATAACCTAGAGAGCATTGTTTTGACACTATCAACGGCATATTCAAGTATTTTTATTTGTTCATCTATTTCTGATTCCTCATCCTGCAGAGCAACAAAAGAAAAACCATGAGTCCTACCTTCCTCCGAAGTATACCAAAATTAAACAAAACATTCACCAGCCACTTTATATTAACAGATCAAACTAATCGTCTAACAACTAGATAAGGAATAATAAACAAAATAAGGATCCAAAAAACATAAGCAACATAGTAGAGCTATTTTCATCTGGATGGAGAAGGTTAGTCTACAATACACTAAGGACGACCCCAGTTTAACAGTTCTATGAATTAGTACACCAAAAGGCAAAGTTTCTAAAACAAAACATCTTTCACGCTTACAATTGTTGAATATAAGAACAGAAAAGCATTAATCAAAAAACTTTGTATATTGCTACCAATTGAAAAGGTTAAAAAGAAATAGAGATAAAGAGATAAATTTTCAAAAACATTGAGAATCAGATGGAGGAAAATGGCTTCCGTATTTCTATATTGCATGACTAAGCCCTACTCGGGTGTGCTCTTTTAAAGATGTTAACAAGATCGTATTTTTCTATGTTGTTACATGCATAAAAAAAAACCATATTTCTAATTGAACTCGGAATACAGATATTCTTCACAGAATATCAAATTAAAACGTGCACACAATACATGAATATTATGCAAGAATAAGCATACTTTAACATATATGTTATTTCAAAATGAATGATACCTCATCAATAGTCAAAAAGAAAATACTAACAAGTCACATTGAAGAAAAAACCATGAAAGGCCTGTGTATTTCTAATATGATTATCCAGAATATCATGGACTTGTTCTTCAAGCATCCTAACATCATTCAACATCTTGTGGATTTGCTGAGTGCCACGGCGATGCTCTTCTTCAAGCTCAAGCTTTTTATTTCTTGCCTATAATGAAAAGAGATGATGTAGAATTATTTGGAGTTTAGTTTGAATGCATATCTGTCTGCATGTTAGAGGGCCGAAATTAAGGAAATCTAGAGTCAAACAGATCAATATTCAGTTCCATATATTAAGGGATTCTGGTAGCTTGTTACCATATCCTTATATATTTATTTCCTGTTTATTTCTTTCTGTTTTAGATAAGATTTGATCCTATTCTAGGTAAGTTGTATATATCCCTAGAAATTAGGTGTTTCAGCATGTATATATTTAGGGGATGTGTAACTTGTTTGATTATTGAAAAAGAAATAAAAATGTATTCCTCTAATTTCTACATGGTATCAGAGCATTCTCTGAACCCTAAATCCCTCATATAACCAAA